TATATATATATATGTAATGTTATTTTCTTCCAGATGGATCTACTTCACTTACAACTACACGCCAAGAAATGCCTTACTTGGTGAGTACATTATATTAGTTTGTACGAAGCTGGTTGAATTATATGAATAATCTTAAATTAAGTAGATTTTCAGCGTTTACTGCTGAAAATCAACGTTTAGTAAACCAATTTTTTGTTTTTTGAAGGCGAGAGCATTGGGTAAATTCAGTGATGATCGGTGAAAACTGCAAGCAGTTCTCAGCGAACCGTGGTTTGTTGCTAACGCAATCAAGTTACGAAAAGCGTTTGGAAGGTTGAAGGCCGCACAGGGGAAGTGGCTACACCTCAGACGGAAGAACGTAACTGCTGTAACCACGGGAACCTTTGAGCAAAACAGAGCATGCACAATGCGGCCCTATCAATTTAATATGGAGTTCCTTAAAGCAGCTATTAAATGAGATAAGCCCGACAGCCTAAAACGATCTGTAAGAGACAACACTACATGATTGCCACGCTTTGATTACGGCCTAGATTAAGAAAAGCAGAACCGTGCGTTTCGATTCCTTTCAGGCTTCAAACGTCGCGTAACATCGATGCTTTCAAAGGAGCCATCGATAACAAGGATAGATGCGCCGGTGCTTACGACTGTAATCAATGCGAGATAGATTGTTTACAGACCGGTGCTTAGAAATGAAATAGGCGCTTAGAACAAATTGCACTCTTTATTCTTTCTTCTTATCTTTGAGATAACGCCTTTCGCATCAGTTACAAAAATTATCTTTGAAATCTGCGTTCCAAATGTAATATAGGCCAAAGCTTTTCCATCAGCTTTTTTACAAACTAATCTTCTTGTCAAATTTACTTAGTCCAAAAGTCTTATTTATAAAACCTGTTAAACCAGTGTCCTGTAGTAGGGGGTGCAATCCATGGACTAACTGCGTCGTCCGCTCAATCATCGGCAGCTTGCTTGTTCGACAAGCAACCTTAGGCATGAATTTTATAATAATTAGACAAGATAAATAATGTTTGGTAAGAACCCGAGCTTCTTTAAACATTGATAAAAAATTTGCCCGGAGCTATTTGTACGTAGTTAAAATGTTTATAATAGACGGGCTTGCAAATAATTTGAACATTCTCTTATCGGACTCTATTCAATATACTTAATCTCAAACGTATATTGCCTCTAGCTTTACTAATACAGGATCAACTTTTTCTAGAATATAACTTAGTGGGTTGATAGAGTAGTTACTGGGCTACATAATAGCAACAAATAAATACGACTTCTATTATAGGATGAATAATTTTATATTGACATTTTTCCTTTTTATTCACACACAAGTTCTAGCTGCCTTGCTAACTCGCTTCTGTAAACACGTTTTTCCAAAAAACACAAGCGAAAAAACACATTTCAATCGACGGCATAGAATTTGCCCAAACAGCTCAATTACGATGATAATATATTGTTGTCTTGTTTTCTCTTGACGAGCTGTTGGGCATGGCCAATACATAAATACTACTTATTCAACCTATATTCTGTTTTAAATGATTCTCTTGATCTGGTCGAGTTGGGTTAGAGCTCTGGGCCATGACCCAATGGGCATGTGTCCTGTGAACTGGTACTTTCCTTGTAATCGTATTCAAGCGACGCCACAACTGGCCCTGCCATAACGGGTATTGCCTGCCCATTCATATGGCTTAACTGATTATACCCTTGAAGCAACACCGCGGTAAAATGAACTATCTTCAATCTGGTATACCATCACACGCCTACGCTCAGTTTAGAAACTTTCTACATGCCACGTGCATTTTTAACTACATGCTGTTCTCCGTTTTCTATTCAAGAGATAATTATCATTGTTAAATTTTACTTTTGTTGGTCACTTTAGACACGATTTGTTTTTGACCTAATTGATCTTCATTGAATGTTGATGGCTGTCAAGTTACGGCCACCGACCCAACGCTGTCCCGAATCACTTTACGGCTCCTCCTTAAATGACATAAGATTAATTCCGGCAGGTTAAAGCCAATTTGTATAGAACGACGATCACCAGTTGGACATCTTCGTACGAAGGTCATGGAAGACAGGCGTACGATTATACTTGCCGGTATCGTGATTTTTTTCGAACTGATACGTTCCGACGACCTTGCTCTACCTAGCTGGATCTTCGGACATCGCCCTTCCTAAAGGCGCGATCCAAAGACGGTAATAGGATAGAGAGAAGTCGATGAAGGACTACGTCATCGCTCGCGTGTCTCGAAATTTTGAGATATGAAGGAAAATGACTGTGTAATGAAATCTCTATCGAAAGCCAGACAAAACACGAGACCACGATGGGAAGAGCGACCGTCATCATCACGTGTAATAGGTGGACAGCCACGTGACGAAGAGTCGGTTTCAATTGTACATGACAAAAGAGACAGTACCATTACAGCGACCAATGTTGTAAATAAGAAGCAGACGCGATCTTATGTTTAGCAGGCGCAGAAGTTGTTGGCTACGAGCTAAAATAGTAAACCCAGTACAAAGTCTTATAAAGAACAAGTATTACGTTGATGACGATGATCAATATACGACAGTATGAATAACGATGGCTTGTGAAGAGTTTCGGCAGAATAATAATAATAATTTTCCTGTTGAAATTTAGAAGTTTAAAAAACTAGTAGTACTGGATAGCAGCGGTTGATTGTTTCAGCGTCTTCGCGTAATTGTCGAAGCTTTTTGACGGCTTCCATTAAAGGATTCTGTGATGTTTTCTGGTTGCAACTGAATGAAATCTGAGGAAAACCGATAGATTAAGTACAAAGTGTAGCAAGCTGATTGATGTACGATACCGTGAGTTAATGCAGATTTCTATATTTTACGAAAAATAGACGTAAATGGTAGAATAATATTATGGTGAGGCGGTTACTCAAGGTTCATAGGGTCGTTCGCCATCTATCGTAAGTGTCGTGTCATGTCGGCAAACGTATGCAGCCGGGCCTTGAAAGGGCCCACTGCTTATAGGCAAACCACCTGACTTAACTACTATGTTGTTAATTATTATAGCCATTCGAGTCTTTGCTGTTCTGTTGATTAAGCAATTCGCGTCCGTATAGTGCACAACATGACGGAAAGATTTCACGGGGCTCCGTTAACCGCAGACTTATTAAGGCTACCGTTCATAGGCTAAACTGTCTCGCGACAAGGCCGAAATAAAGCATGTTCCTCTATGAATGTCATATTTAAAATCAGCACTCAACTCAGGTTCATTTAGTTGTAGCTTTGCTTAATAGATCCGTTACTTGATAGCATGCTACGTGCTCGAGCGAAGGAACGAATCGAACAATGAGATCGGTCGACATTTCATTGTATTCAGTAGTACTGCGGCCATCCTCATAGATCCTACGCTGACGCCAGAAGGTCGCTTCGTGAGAACGACAGGATATGAAGGTATTTTCCAAACGGCGGAACGACTACTGCCGACTACCCATCACGTTGGTGGCTCCTCACAGGCGCACGACATACATGAATCATTGAAAAATAATTCTTGACGCTACCTCTGATGTATTTACGGAGTAGGCCAGCTCCAATGGTCTGCGGTTTCAATTTTTTCGTCGACATCGTGTCTCTGATTTCACTTTTTATGTTCGCACTGCTTCCAATCCATCTTCGTCTCGTCTTTCCGAGCGGGTCCGCTTGTAGCGATGATGCGATTCAGAGCTGTCTCCTTTCCTCGATGGCGGGCCTGATTATTATTTAGACAACTTTTTTAGCGTGGACCTTTGTTAGGTCCTGCACGCAAATACAAGCGGACGCATTCACTTCACAGAGATTAACTATTATTCACATAGAGATAGTTGGTCGATGTTGCGAAAACGTATAATTACGCCTGTTTTAGCGACAGTAATCGAATGAAGCTTGCCGTCTCTTCGATTCAATTGGGCTTCAATTGGGATTTCTAAAATGCCATACATAAAACGAACAGACAGGTGAAAATCCAGCCTCAATGCATACCTCTCATTTTCTTATTAGATTGCTGGCTACATTTTACACGCCAGCGTCATGGGGATGTAAAATGTGATCTATCGGTCTCTACCAGGACGCTCTAATATTCGAAGAGATTTTTTTTTTCGAGAAAATCAAACCTAAACAGGAGATATTGTCAATCCCGTTGGAAATGACCCATTTTGGCGTATTTCTTACAATATCAATTTCTCTTTTGGTGGCATGGTAAATGGCTAGCAGGATGACTATGAATCTATAGGGATAAAAACATGTTAAAAGCTAGTTTAGCTGCTTGGTCTAATACATCGGAAACTTTGTCTCAGTTGTTTTCGTGGCGTTGAAGTGATCAGTTACTCATATAGTTCTTTGTTAATTTAGTTGATTGTATCAATAGAAAAAAGGATTACTTATTATATATTGTTTGAATAGGTTTATGAACAGCCATAGTTTGCTTCCACACGTTGCTTTTGTGTTAGTTGACGTTTCTTACGATATTGAGAAATACTGTGGAGGCACGTACAACGACGACTCATGTGATCACTGAGAACATGGAGAGTCCTCTGTAAGGGAACGGTGTATACAGCTTAGGTAGAAAGACTTATGAAGCGTTTGATGGCCGATGTCAACCAACTAAAACATCATGGCCTGCTTACAGGACTTGCAGCTTACTCCTCGCAGGGGACCGTATGAGGGATTACTCGCTTTAACAGTTTCGTACCACTATAGTAGTGATCGACCAGATAACTGATTCATCGTTCTTCAAGCAGACTGAACACAAAACGGAAGACGACATGTGATGGCAGAAATGGCAACACCCAATAGATCGACTGAATTGCAAATTCATACTGCCAAATGTAATTTTTAGGTTTGAAACGGGTGGGCGATCAGATGAAAACATTGCCTTCATACCGCGTCGGTCACATAGGATCATGTTCGTGCCCGCGTGCGGGCATATTCCACGCTCGTTGTCAAATGAACTGAACGAACGTCCCTGTTGTTTACTCTGCTACTTGTGATTATAGCCGAAAAAACTATTTACCAGCTAGATGTGCCGAACGAAATTAGGTAACTGATTGCGTACGAGGCCAAATAAAGACGTGGTACTAAGGCTTACCAAATTAGCCATTACTGTTAGTGTCGGACGGTACCTGCTAGCCCTCCCCACATCCGAAACATACATCACTATGTAAAAACAGTATGATTTCTATCGCGATAGCTTTTTCCCTTGTCGCTTTCCCACAATCAACGGCGATCCTGGCTAGATAGATTGTCTTAGCTTTCAGAAACGACCGTACACATTCTATGTTCAACGCTACCTATTAACCGTTTCGCCATTCATAGGATTTGCTGCAGTGGCGCGTACGCCACTACGTATTTCCATCGAGATCGTGCAAAGTACTTTTTCAAATGGCTTCCGTTAATTATGTCCGCGGACGAATTTGAGTTTAGCTTTAATTGACAAAATGGAGAGAAGCCAGCCGTGCTGCCGGCTAAACAGTTCCGTAGGGCTACTCGATACGAGGGGAGAACCTCTTTAGACGACGAGAAAAATATATGTATGTCTATGTAGAAATTTGTATGATATTAAAAATATAGTGGCGGTATTGTTTACCGGAACAAATGGTCTTAAGTAAAAGTAATTTAATAATAATGCGGCCAAGTCTGAGTTCAACGATACGCAACGTATTTGATGACAAATATCTGATTAATCCGTCGAAGAGTAACGTCAAATCGTTCGATCACTGTAAAAGGATCATTACGACTTAGTATGTCTGCAGCGTTCGTTACTTCAGATGGGCGCGGTATTTCCGCTCTCAAAACACGCACCACTCAGCGACGGAGTCTCGTTAGCATCAATAAAAAAAAAAAAAAAAAAAAAAAAAAGACAAAATTATATTCTTTCTCTATGTGATCCCATACATAAGATAATCAGAGAGATCAAACATGCACACCATTTATGTACAGCTTTTTTTCGTTGTACGTGTTGTAGTGTAAACACGAAAATTATGACGCGCAGCAATATGGCTCTACCCTCTGAAGCTTCGATTCTTTTCATCCTAATTGATTTGTTTATCTTATTGTGAAGTTCTTTATCATTGTCATTTTAGCTATGAATGTGATGTGATATAACAGAATTATAGTTGACTTCCTTTAATGCTAGTTTCAAGATACAATATATACATTGTACGAATGGATAAGCTGAAGCACATCGACCCAGTACCTAAGCTAGCTAGAGATAGCCGAGGTATTTTTTTTTTTTTAATTTAATTTTTGCTGTTACTTGCTTCTGTTTGTTGTGTAAATGTCTATTGATGTTTTGCCTCACCAAACAAATTTTAGGCTTGCCGCGGGGTGGCTTACCGAACTGGCAAAAACAACTCTAGCATCAAGCAAGCTACGACTAAACGTGGGGCGGACGAAAAATTGTTTAGTTCTGTCTTTTTTGTACTGTCTCTTTTTCCCTTTTGAGTAAACACGCGTTTATTGCTTTCCCTAGTAACAAACGCGTACGTCTCAAACTATTTAACTATATGTATTATTGTTGTGTGTGCACACACAGTCAGCGTGGCATCGGAGTCAAGCACACCCTTACGGCGATTAGTACACATGTACAATGTTATCGCAACTATTCAAGCGCCCTAATATTGTGCTTGATTAAAAGGCTGCATCACATCGTTTTCATTCAAATTCACACCATTTCGGTAGATAGGCAAAAAGCTGACAATTGACGACAGTAAAATTGTTTCATATCTCTATGCGTATATATAGGTATTTATACGTATATAATATAGGTATAATGAGCGCTCGCTTGGTCAACTGCACGTTACGCTGCGGACGTCCAAGATTACAGATTTGATTCTGCCCAATAACAGATGTTATTTTGAACAGAATTGAATCACACGGTACGTATGTCTATAGATAGTAAAGCATAAGGTCTCTAAAGCCATTTTGTTCGAAGTTCTGCGTATTTTAACGGCTCCTGTTTAACGCTGTTTTTTGCTGCTTTTTCATTACGAAAAAGATCAGAACGGATTTTGTTATTTCCGTACGGGCTAATTGCAAACCTCGCGGGAAGGACCATCCATCCATCATCCAACTTCTACGGCGAATTCATATATTCTGACAAATGTACAAAGCGGCGCTGATTCGGAACACGTGATAGAAATCGTACACTCATATATCTAGCTCAAAAAAAAATTGTCACAATAACCACAGTGTGTGTACACAGGGAAACATCTATTTCGTTCGATGTGATTCTGCCTTTACGAGCTGCACGGCCGGTTCGCGTCTGATTGTATATACCTCTAAGCGCCATAGCGAAATTTGCTCCCGGAGACGATTGTTTATCTCTAACGACGCTAGGCACAGTAGGCATCAAGTTAGAACTTGATGTTAATCGTCGTCTGTTTATCAGTTGATTTTAATGCTGGACGAGCAGATCATCACAGCCAACTTCAACCATTCACCCGCTCAGCGCACACCGAATCCAGTTGTCAGGGGCAGCAAATTCAAATTCGAAATAAAGTTCCTTGCTGATTCTTTGTTAGTACTTCTTGGTACAGACTGTGTGCACACATAACGGATGACCCGAATGCTCCCTCGCGCCAGACACCGCGGTTCTATGCTTAGCGTGAAACTATCGTAGCTGTCGACGCAAGGCATGAACGGTAACATTGCGAGAACGTTATGACAATGTAGGTGATGATAGACGTTGATTTTGAAGATAGGATAGAGAAGAAGAAGGATGACAACCGAAGAATATGATGAAAATCGAATCGCAATAATCGAAGATTCAGCGAGCATTTAGGGCTGTAGTAACACCTTTAAAGGGAATAGATACTCATCATTATCACAGAGAAATCTGCAAACGAATAGAAATGAATGTCTCAGACTTTTAAGTTAAATTGTTCTCTCTTGTCACAAAGCAAAACGTGTGTCCTCCCCATTTTCCTTTAGGCCTAGGCTATTTCATATGTCTTCAAATTTAATCAGCAATTATTATGTTACAAGCGCGCCGACGAGGACAGACGTGTCCAAGACACGAAATAGGCACCCTTTGTCCCAGAATGAAATGGTATTACATGCAATTTCATAAAAAAATAGGTAAGCTTTATTCGATAATGACGGTTACTGTTGACGTTTTGGTGTGATTGTGGCGTAAAAAGTGTCAGCTTCTCCCTAACGGTTATTTTTTTCGGCTGAAGTATGACATATACTCGAAATCGCAAATTCAGGCCTTTGAACCAATTTTGTTTTCTAACAACATGGATTCAACGTTTGAATGCGATCGATTAAAGACACAACTTCTTAATGGACTTGTCTAATAACAATGACCTTTGAAGATAAAAACTTTTCGCCTGAACTAAGCTAATAAGAGGTCCGTTTGTAACAAAACTATAGTTAAAATTGAAGTTACATATATATTTAAAACGCAGACCTCTAAATACAGGTAGTAAGGTGTCCAGGATGATTTCTGGGTAAACACTATCATAAACATTTTCACTAATGACAAAAAAATCACTTCACAATCGGAGGGAATTGTTTCTACTTTCGCTGTAGATGATCGCAGCACTAGCTTTGAACTGCCCAGCGATTCATTGAATGAATCATGAATTTAAGGAAAGGGCACGTCCGTCCGACGAAAAAATCCAGTATAACTCGAATTTTCGCGACAGACGCTCGTACTATCTCTACTAGGCGACCGTCTGTCTGCGCAGCCTACGAGCGGAGGGTCGATTTCTTTGCTTGTGAAAATTCTCTGCTCTATACAGCCATTTTAGAGGCAGATCCCCCGGTAAACAGATTCAAATAAAACTCACCATCGTGGGTCCATCGGCGAAGTCATCTTGGTTCGGCCACCTGAAATTACAAAGATGGTAAAAACGTCAATACTATAATTTTGTATGAATATATGAAGAGAAAGTCGATCATGTCAATGCACTGAGCCTGTACAGGCTGCCATCGTGACCTAAGTAGATATTTTTCAAAAAGGGTTACGCGGAGCTGCACTTACATTTATGAGAAGAAAAAAAACGATGCAAATATATTTAGCCCTAATTAATCGCAATAATGAACTTCGTGTTTGTCCACATAACACCACCGATTTCACAAACATCCCACTTGAATTTTTTTGCTTTTTATGTTTGTAACAAAATGTCAGCGAAAGAGTTATTGTCTCAATTACGATAGTGAAGGGATTGAACCCATCGATTTGTAATTCTAAATCAGTTCTTTCTGAACTACTACTACTAAAAACTGTATCCAAAATTACCAATGCGGTGACTAAACGAATTATGCGCATATAAAATCTAGAGGAGAATAGTTTTTTACATGAAGCCTCCTTCGTTCTGTCGAGCGTCAAGCGTTCCTTGACACGTCTTGACTTCTTCATATCTTCTGTGGCATTTTTTGGACTCTAACCAAATAGGCTGCTTGTCCTAGCCAATGCACCTGTTAGATAAAACGAAGAAAATGGAAAAAAAAATTTACCAGCGTTTCGTACCGGATAATGGCGGACAGAAGAATGGAAAGTCGGAGCCATCATAGTTGTGTTTTAGCGTTTTTCTTGGCATGATTTTTGCCAAAAACATCAGAGATGAACAAAGTATATCCAAAATATTTTTCAGTCAAAGCTGTCCCCCATTAAACGGACGTTTAGAGATTGTTGTGTTTCAGAAGTGCGCGCACGGAAATATTGTTGAGTTTTAAGTAGATTCAGGCTTGGACGACGGTGGACAACCGGGGCGATGATCTAGTTCTGTGTAATCCCACTAAACCTTTAAATTTTTGCTTCGTCTTCATTGTGTACTCTGACGACCCGATCTGTTCCTGTTAAGTATTTGAGTCCGTGAACATTCAGTCGATTCAAGTTAAAAGAGCAATTCTTCTTTAGCTAAACACGCAGTTGTCTACTAAAGAGGCTTTAAAAGGGTAATAGGACGACGCTCAAGTTGAATAATTCTTATACAACTATTCTATCGAAAGATCTGTGGAATGGTCTTTGAAGAACAATAATACAAACAAAGTCGCTGCAGACATGATTTTCTTGGACTGTGGGTACTTTGTTCGTAATGCTTTGGAAACATCGAATGTCTTTTTCTCAGTTGATAGGGAATTATTGAGTGCTCATGATAAACTTACAATAGCAGCAACCATCTGAGGCGTAAGTGAAATGGTCACACAATTTGAAACGGCCAATTTGATTTTTCGATGTTATTTTATGAAAATGATTTGCTTCTAGCCGGTTGAATGTCTAATTCTTAGTTTAGGTATAGAAATTGGAGACTATCCAAATAATAGTAATGATCCACTAAGCGGCTCCTGTCACTTTTCATAGTGTGTATCTAAAATCAAATCAGACGTGGAGGGTCGAACGGGAAAACTCTTCCTTCAATACCAGCAAACGAATAGAAATTAATTAGTTCAAATAACGTGAGGGTACATTAAGTTGGTAGTAATTATGGTGCAACTTCAAGTTCAGAAAACAGCAGCGATATAATTTCACACACATATTTCCGATCTGCTGAAACGGGGATCGTTTACTTCGGTCATTGCTTCTAGCAAACCTCGATATAGTTTTGGAGCTTATATAGTGAAGATTACACACTCACATCGTTTGAATAGCCGAAACTAAACAAAGATTTACTGCACTCTCATAGACATGATTAAACGATTCTTCAAGATGGTAAAGGCGTAGATAAAATGTTATGAGTATTTAGGATAGTTAACGCATCTGTACAGAATAATTGGAACTCTACATTCGGGAGCCAGAACGTTTCTGAGAACTGAATATGAGCTAAAATACCTTAAGATACTTCTCCGTCGGACAAACCCCACCGAAACTAAACTTGTATAGATTCAAGGGTCTATATTCGACTCGTCGGAATCCGAGAAAAACGTTTATACATGTAATAGCCATAATAGGAACTAGACCGTAAAGGTGAAAACAAATGTTAATAATGGCACGAAAAGCCATTTTTGATACTCGCAGAGTGTTTGCACATATAACAGACCTTGCCCTCGATAGTCGAAATTATTTATCACAGGTGGAAGCCTTTAGATTTTCGGGATCTTTAACCCATTGTACACCCAGAACCCGAACCTGAAAATTTTTCCTTGTGCAGTTTGCTTGAGCGAGTGCAGGTTCGCGATTACGATTGAAAAGTTTCTAGCGAGTGCATTTTGCAAACAACTTGCGACAAACGTAGACGCAGCCATAATCAAAATCGTAATAGAAATAAAAGGCTATTACATGGAGCAGAGACATCCGCTGCTGCTATCTGTGTTGTTGCGGGCGAGACACGTTGATCCAATACCTGTCTTCATGTATTAAATCGTTTCGTGTGAAACGTGACGAACTTTAATCCTATATTCTCCAAATTACACTTTTTTGAATCGCGCGCCTTTTCTCTAGAGGCTTTCGTCTTCTTCTAAACCTGAGACCGTCAAGCCGGATCTCGTCGTTCGCGTTTTCGACAGGCAGATCGTAGCGAGTCATGACAATGAACAAAATTCAAGCGCTTTACCAATATGAGCTCAATCTAGGAAGTAGAGCGGCGGAGATAGCCGTCAGTCGACAGGCGTTAAGTGTCACATAGTTCGTAAATGCCTAAAGTTGGCAGCCATATGATTTCAGCGGGGAACAAAATTAGAGACGTTTGCTGTGAAGTTAATTCGTTGCCGTATTAAACTGATCAATCCTTTACAATCATTGCGGACGGTCACATCAGTGGGTCGATGCAAATGAACCAGAAGGACATCATCCTAACGTAAATGCATACTTGGAAAAACTTGTGGCATCTAATGACGGTGCCACTATTCGCAGCTTTGTTAGGTTTTAACTGGTCGATTATGGCGAAAATGCCCGGAAGGGATGATGAAGCCTAACCGCTATAATGTTTGTACTATGAAAAAGCTGATAAGCTTTAGAATGCTTACTTTTAATAAGGATAATTATAGTATATTTTAGAAATTCTCAGATCACAATTAATACAATATGAACAAATTTAACATGGTATAACCGGACCATAAATAGCTAGAGAAACCTTCATGCTTTTGTTCAGATCGAATCGTATTATAACTGAAATATGATTTATGAGAAAAAGTCAAATGAACGAAGGATCGAACACGTTTAGGACTTGCCCGAGTTTTAGGTCAGTGCACGTAAATGCAAAAACTCGGGCAAAACTGACGAGGCAGAATGGAGTAACGTATACATCTCACAAGCTTACGAGAAGTCAACGAAGGAGCGCACTCCTGCTAGACCCTCGGCCTAAGAATGAACGATTTAGGCCATATGAATATCAAACACTTTTAGATAATACATCTTTACTGATAGATGATTCTTCCGTTCTTATGAGGCGACGACATATTTTGTACAACTATTCATTTTGTAGCCAGACCACATTGTTCAATCAATAGCGAAACAAATGTGGTCAGCTATTGTCATCCAACCGATACGTTTACCAATCTCTTCTTTGTATATAACGTTAAGTATGGGGTATTCCTCCATGTAGCCTTAATACTATTTCGGTTAAATTGGTCAGGTTTTTTTTCTTTTCGAAAGGGCGTTATTCTTACGGCCCGTTTCCCGACGCTATTCTATTCACTTTACATACTGTTCTGTAAATCCGGTGCTGTGTATCTAAAAACGTTCTATAAATTGTAAGGCTATTTATTAGACCTTTACAAGAAAAGGTGCAGAAGGCCAAAAAAACACTGATAATTGAATAACTGTGTTATAAGAAGCCTAAAATTGTTACAGCAGTACACTTGCAAGTAGTTGCGAGCGGAGACCACTTTGCGCCACCGTCGTTTTAATTTAACCTAACAATTTCCATTGGCGTAAAACGTAGAAAGTTATTTTCAGAACCTTATGTTGAACATCGTAAAGTTATCGTGAGTTTAGGGTAAAATCATTATAGCCTAGTTGTTTGAAATAGAATCGAAATTAAATAATCTATTTAGAAAAAAAGTAGATAGCAACGACTGACGAGCAGGCATTCTTGTCGCTTTCTTGACTACTACTCGCGGTACTAAATAAGTTTTTTAATAATGATATGAGTTAATATCTGAATCTTATTATATGAGAATATCGGGAAATATATGAGTTTATATCGAGATCTTTCTCATGTATCAGCTTCGTAGATATAATTCTCATTATTAGTATATGTTTTGTAATACCGTCAACAAACGCGCTCGAGGTTTATCAGAAAAAAAGGCCATTGCCTTTTTTCGCATACAGACCAAACCACCTAAATGCAAATAAGTTTACCGAATCGGCAATTTAAAAAAACTATGCTAGTAATTAATAGTATGTTGCGAGGGTCGAGGTCCAAAAAAGACGTAGGGATACGAAGATATTGGCATTTACTGTAAAAAAAAAAAAAAAAAAGAGGGAATTTTATTAAACCTTTCTTTGATCGCTTTAATTAACTACGGGCGCTACCGGATCGTAAATATTTCAATTTGAATATTTAGCCAATTCTTCAGCGTAAAGTTTCTAAGTTACGTTGTCATGTTACGACATAAGAGGACAGATAGCAAAATGTAATGGATGTCATAATTTCTGAAGAGAACAGTTTTCTATGAATGATAGTAGAAGACAATTTGCAATAACGCATCGAAAAAATAGCGTAGCATATATATATATATATATATATATATATATATATATACGTGTATATATATATACATATATATATATGCTTCATGACCGAAAAAACAAGAATAGATTTATACGGGATAGTATCGAAAACTATTGCGCTGAACATAATCACAACAATTCGATCGTAATTTCTTTATTTAAATGTGCTTTAATGTCTAATTTTTGAGTTCAGTTAGATAACTATACAGATGTGCCTATATAGACGACTGATTTCAAAGGGAATACTGAGGAGATGGGACCAGCGCTCAGTGAGTGTCCAGGAAATGTCAGCTCGTTCCAGGGAGTGTTACAACGAGGTCGAAATATTAAGCAACCGCATAGTTTAGGGCTATGAGCGTTCTTCGATATGTTGATTTCGCTACTTCGAGGCGCCTCCAAGTGGACACAACGCTGCCTTCCTTAAGCTTTCCTAGCGATCAGAACGTTCTTTTAAAACAATAACGTTTCAGCTTGACGAGAATGATATAGGAAGCAATCAGTCGTAAAATAGCTTTTCTTCGAATGTTGGCTGCTCGTCAACTAGATTCCAAGTGAGCGTCTACAGAGAGAGTCAAGATAAACTTTAAGTACTTTGTGGTAAAGGTACTCAGGGTGGGCCATTCGTGATGTATTGATCCCCTACATTGTTTGTCAGCCTGAGGTAATTCGTTTGCAAACCAAGGCTCTATACAACTCTGTAGACGTTCATCACTCGCAGCAGAAACATAATTGAAAAAAGCAGAGAAACAAAGCAAACGGAACCGGCCGTTGTCGTTATTATTGGGATGACAGCAAACGCATACATTGTTCTTATGGCCTGCGAAGGAAAAACTATATTGTAGTGTACGTAGAAGATTGTTATTTGTCGACTTCAGCTACGAACTTTCTCTGCGGCGAAACGCGCACCGAGCAATTAGAAGAGACGCTTTATGCCAGAGGTAACCAGCAAAGCGGAATGAAAAAAATGGTCGACCCATACGACTTATTCTGGTAAACGCATCGTAATAAAAAACGTCGTATTGCAAAAGCAATACGAACTCTGAAAGACAGTTTTGTTTTTTATGTCCAGAGCTTTCACTTTTTACTTGGAGCGGCAAAAAGAATACCTGGTATATTGGCAAACATCCATCGCTTGCGAGACCTCTTATTCTGTATATCCTGACTTAGATACCGTGAAGTAAGACAACGTAAAAGATCATTCAAACACCATTTAGTCACCAGGTGCCTTGACAATACTGTTAGTAATGATTATATGAGACAGAGCCACGCGCGGCCGTAGAGCACTACAGCTTCCTCAGCGTATGTTCTGGGGTTCACGATCTCGCAAACTAAAAATCTGCGAGCTCCATTAAAAAATGCCAGGACTCCTAAAGCTATGCGCAATTATGCTGATAATTTAGAATAATTTGTGTGTCAAGAGTGACGCGATGCTGTTTATCTAGAAATTTAGCATGATTGTACAAAAATATTTTCTCTGTCGATTAACATTTGAAAGAGCACTTGGAGATAAAAGAAAGAAAAAAAAAGCAAACTTTTCATTGAAGAAAAGTGCCACTACATTGAAGAACTATATGTTAAGAGGGACAATAACTCAAACCACACCCTATAAATCATTGATGTTTCAGCTGATCAGCAATTTTATAAACATAGATAACCTGGGCAGTTTTAAGCCTTTGTTTAAATACCAGTCATCACCTTGTAAGATCTTGACCAATGGCCAATTTATGAGATCACAACAATAAAAAAAGACATTGGATATTCAACACCGGTTACTGTTCTGCTCTGTTCGATGCTGTCCAAGTAGAGCTGATACACCATCAGTTATTTAGTTTAACTATAAATGCATGTACTAGCAATATGTTGCGTCAGCGGATATATCTAGTATGTCCATAGACGTTATTTGCTTTCTCAGCGGATCCGATCGACTCACCTCGTCTCTACTTTGCTTTCAGATACATGTTCGATCGGACGCTATTTTCGTACAAACGTAAAACTTCTACAGACTGTTCATTGCCTATAGTTTTTGCACGGTACGCACTATTTCCCTATGAGTTTGTCGCTTCGAGCAGTAATTCATTTTGAATTACGAGCGTAAGCTTTGTCATACGACGCTATACTTTGACAGGATGTATCGTCTTGAGAGCGTGGCGTTCGTGGACTAGACGCGAGTTACGATACTCTGACGAACGGCGACGCCTATCAAAGTAACATTCGATTGAAAAGCTACAACTAACGTTTCAGCGTCAGAATTCTGTATTCTTATTGAAAATAGGCGAGATCATTTTGGCTATGGATTCGCGTAACGCTTAATAACTGACACTGATTTAGCGTAGTTCAGAAGCAGAGACTGACTCCTCTAAGGGATATGAACAGAACCAAGCGGTGTATGATAAACGAATGGCTGACATGTCCGCAGTCTGTCATGAAAGAAGATGCTATGGAAATGTTACGCTGTGCGGAAATTCTATAGCCCAAGGATCATTCCGAGCTAGCTTTCATATCTGGAAAAAATAATAGATCCGTATTTTTATTTCTTCAATAAGTACAGCACTAGAACCAGCTCCGAAATTTTCAAATAGTCAACTAATACCATGATCTGGGGGCATCGAGGTGATATATGAGCGAAAAACAGAAGTGCGAAAATTTTCGCACGAAACAATGTTTGTAGCTTCGGATGCAGGCCACTTTGCCAGAAATAGTGGCGACACGACGTCAGAAGCAAACAATAATGGGTTATTAACAATGGAACTTGATAACTACTCCCGAATCAATCTCGAAAATTAGGTGTTCGACTATTCGCTATGAGTAACAAGCAAACCGTTGACGGCTGCTAGAGTTGAAACCGTTTCTGCTAAATTGACATCCTCATCTAGGCTAAACGAATTACAATGCCTAACTATAAAAATTTCTCTTGTGCATGAACGAATACTGTGAAACTAGGGCATAGCTATTTAATACAGGGATTTCGTATCTTTGTTGTCGGACATCTTATCTCTATCGTATAGTATATTCGAAAATGATACGAGTAGACAAATAAAATGCTTATATCAATTATAAAGTCTTACTAACACATCAAAAAACATAATGTAGTATATGTAAAACAAGGCGAGGTAATGCACTGTGCAGTTATTCGGCAGTGTTCATGCTAGTTCACCTATACGTGATGACATTTGTACAGCGTTTCCCATTTAATGCCCCTTTCAGAATAGGCAACATCTTGTCTCACTTTCTCATCACACCGCGTAACGAGACATCGTGCTGATTTTACTGTTGTTAAATAGCTATATTTTTGAACTTCGGTCAGCGTCGTCATAGCAGTATGAACACCGTAAATACGATCATACTATAATCATAGTATATTAGAATGAATGTCTCGATCAAATTGATGAACTAAGAGTTACGTTTGGAAAATTGCATCAAGGTTGCTCAGTGGACAGGATGGATGCGGCAATTGCATAACGGAGATGAACTCGAACAAGCTAAGAGGTAATCAAGCTCCCCAAGAAAATTCGGCACATAAGGTGATTGATAATAAAATTTTGAACAAACTATAAGCCTATAGGCGCTTTTAATCATACATGCTTTTAATGGCAGACAAAGATCCGTACCCAACATTTGCAGTTAACTTGTTGAGGGCAGGCTTTTTCGATCACATTATAAGTCGAGTCAAGGACCTCGTCACACAAAACCGGAGGAGGTTCAACGAGTGATGGAACTTTGTATAATCTATAGATATATCACCTCGACATTCATCCATAAACACACAATTCGAGAACCACTCGACGGAAGGGATCCACTGCAGAAGACTCACTGTACACTAATAACGATAATATCAACATGCAAAGTTTGCTTCGTCTGCCAATCGTCGCCCTAACTCTGTATCTTTACATGTCTACACAAGGTTCTTTTCTCTTCAAGACTAACTTACACGCCAGAGACGCGTTTGAGCTAGACCGTTTCACCTGCCGTTATCGATCACAACGTAAAACGTCTTTCCGTCTACAGTTTTCATCAATGCGACTTGTCTCGAGACCGGATGCCGGAGTACCGTCTCTACCAGCCAGATGTCGTCTGACTTCACTTTAGTCGACCTTCATCTGGCATCTCGTTTGTCGATATAGTGACTCCACTCTGGTCAGGCTGACATCGACAACACAACAGCTAGCTGTATCATTGAACCAATACCCATTGAAAAATTAATAGGCCGTATCTCACATCGCTAAACTTACATATCGGGGGGGGTATGAGTATGAAAAGTTTCGAAAGAAAAAGAAAGTTACTTCGGTGCCATCTCCATCCGTGCACATTTTGTAGGGAGGCATCCGCTAAAATTCTGAAGGGGTCAATTTCAGCATTATCCAGGCTATTTTCTGTAGAAGCCCAATACTCTAGACAGATCGTTTTAGTGCGGCGTTTGTTTCGGCGTTATTGCTGTTGCGTTTTATGCAACACTGTTTCTGTTTAGTTGGTCCACCGCGACTGCATGTCGCTGCTACGGTCTGAAGGCAAGTGTTTTGGTAGAGTTTTCCACTTATTCTTTTGGCGCCCCGGCGTCCGCCTCATCGCGGTTCTCCGGCTGGTAAGCGACATCATCAGCATCACCACCGTCATTCGTATCAAGGCATTAAGAGTGGTGAACTTCTAGAAGGAAAGGGAACTGTGACGATGATTGTGGCGCCATCTGTTTGTGCTCACGGTAACTCGCAGTACGACGGTAATGACGATTCGGGCGACGTCGATAGACACGTATGTTTATCACTAACAAAGAAGAACCGCAAAATGCTGCCGTAATTCGTGAGTGAAAACTAAATGCTACCATGTAATTGCATAGAGTGAATTCGGGTGTTTCTACTGATTGTGTTGATTTGTCATGTCTTTATCGTGTTCTTGTCCGACTGCTATCAACTTAGAAGCGGAACAATGCGTACGCACTTTTTACAAGGAAGCAAAAAAAAATTAATAGTAAACTCACGAAAAAATAAGCTGAATACTAGTTGATACTATCGCACACAGTCATCGTTAGCAGTTGATTAGATTGAGAGATGCATTATATTGGACATAGGCTCATAGTAAATCGCAAAATAAAGGGAGACCAAAAGGAAGAAACACTATATAAACTTACTCTTAGTTAATGATATCATGATCTGAGTCTAGCTCCGATGGTTTGTTTATTTATATTATTATATTTATTTATTCTCGTTACAATGGATTAGGTCGCTGTCATCACGGAACGGAGATAGAAACGTCGTCTGCTCATTACGTCAATACATTAATTTAGCATAAAGTAGACGATCAATTTAGGGAACAACTACGAGACACGCTAAGGGTCGTAGTCGTTGATTCGGCCGCGAAGTTATATCAGGCGACTCTAATGCGTTTCAGACCTACCTCAGTTGACTTCAATTGTTTTATGTTGCACCATTTTGGTCAGTTGGCATGGCACTTAACATGATTATAGTTTTTTTCACTTTAGGAGTACAAACTTTGGATAATGAGTACAAGATTCACTCCTTAAGAACTAAGGGAATTAAGATGGTGCTTAATACAATTGATATTGTTTTACACTAAATAAAACGGTGTTTGCTGTATAAATTTCATTACTTACCTGTATTATCTGAGGAGCCGCTTTAAATTACACACTGTTATATTATGTAAATAGATATTTCACGATCAATACAACAGATTTAAGCCTATCGTGGATAGGCTTATGTACGTTGCTTGCGTCCTAAATAATGAATAATACTTTGGCATCCTACTGCGATCCAAGTCTGCGAAGTATGACTTAATCAAACGAATTTGACACATCAGTTTTTTTATCAATTCAAAGGAAAGCATCGCTTAGACAATGACGAAAGATCCTAGACAGAAAACGGATAGCCAATTCTAGGCAACGGCCCACTACTGGAAGATGTATATGAGTTTAACGAAATGGGTCAATTATGTTTCTGTTTTGCTATAAAAACGAGGTTAATTTCGGGGCTCATGGACGTTCGAGATTCTTCTACTAATACTTTGCGCATACGTAAATAGTATCTATATATGTTCTAAGAAGCGTCAGGCAAAGCTAATTGCGAGAAGTCAGAACCTCTATGTTCACCGTACTTGAAGGGTCACTACAAAACCGGATCTGTAGCGCCCTTACGAGGGACTACAAGTCTGGTTTACAATTGTTTCAACGCCATTCCACAGCTACGACTGCTAGTTGCTATACAGACGAGACGGGACACTTGACATATTCTTGGAGGGTTTCGAAATTAGAAATTAGACAAAAACAATCTGCCACGAACTGGTCGACTACTGTCAACGTACCAGGTTTACAAGGGACTGTATTTTGTTGTAAATATAATTATAATTACCGCCGGTTTCGTTATCTAGGCAAGCCTGTAAAAAACGCAGCTTTTTGATACTGGCCGATGTAAACGGGACTGGCTAGACCGACAGTCATTTCACTGCCGTCAATATGAGATGAACTAATAAGCATTGTAGAAAAGCTTTTCGTAAAGCTTTTCTGTGCTAATCGCGTTAACCGTTTGAGGTAATAATTACATTTGGAGGAGTTTACGAACAGACAGACTACAATAGCGAGCTAAGCGTATGACGATTGAAGCGCAGATCGTAGAGAAGGCGGTATACAGCAGGTTGATGCTGCTATCCTTTTAGGTCTTTTAGGTGAACGCGCGACAGAAGGCTTGTTTTCAAGGAGAGATCAATGTCATCACAAGCAGGTGACGTCGAATCTTCATTATTATCGGTTGCAGATGCTGAGACAACGTCGACATGGACGAAGGCCGGACGCGACCTTCGATTCCACGAAACCGTGACTTACGAATCGTTTCGGAAGAAATTAAGAAATATACTACACTCACGCAGATTTAACGAAGTCGTCATGGTTTTAATACTTGTCGATGTATTTATCGTTACTACGGAGCTGTTCATAATATTGGTGCTTATTCACAGGGCGAAAAGTAATGGAGAGGTTGCCGAACGTAATAGTTTCGTAAACGTTCTCCATGGTGTCTCGCTATGGATACTCAGTTTGTTCGGCGTTGAAGTTTTTGCCAAGGTCTACGCTTTCGGTTGTTTCGGTATGTTCTGGAATAAATTCGAAATTTTCGACGCACTCGTCGTTGTAATCACTTTGGTAATCGACGTCAGCCTTTCTCGTTCAAATCTTGTCATTTCTGTCGAATCGAATCTGCTGATCGCGGTACGTCTCCTAGCGATATCTCGCATTCTGAGCCAGGTCGAACCATTATCCGAAGAGGAAGCAATGTTAAGTGAATGACAACGAGGCGATCTGCATTGAAAGAACAGCTACAACAGTAAACAAACAGTTTACGGTCTTCACCGTGAAGTCCCCGATGTGCTTAAGGTCTAGGAAGACCCTAAATCGTCGGGAAAGGCAACAGCAACGTGTTCTTTACTGAGTATATTAGCCTACTGTTACAGCACAAGTTTATCAGGAATCAGCATGATCGACTAATCGATAACTGAAAACACAAAGTTGTTCTCATACTTTTGCGCGAAGACGCTGCGTGAGTCATCTTTCTTTGGGAGGGGCTAAATGTACGAGATTTTCTACAACTGTAATTGGATTAGTGTAGCAAACAGACGCGTAACGTACTTTTGTATATTGGCTTATCGTGAATTATTTATTACTTGTAAGTCGTCGGGGTCGCACATGTGTTTTTCAATAGATATCTGTCTGCGGCCTTTGGAGACTGTAAATTGTTTTATATATACAGTAAATTATTGCAGTCTTGTTTTGATTCTTTTCCATCGAAAAGCATCCAATATACACATAGCTGTTGTTAAAAAGGTCATATAGATCTAGCTTTCTAGCCTAACTTCTTGGTCTGTTAGTTGACAAAGTCCCTAGAAATTATTGAAGAGGTCACCAAATTTGCGAAACCATTCTCCAAAAGTTTTGTTATCAAATAAATATGGGACAACTACAGTAGGATTACACAGCATCATTTAGATGACTGCAAGGACTGGCTCTTTTACTTGTTGTAATGTTGCAAACGACTAATAAAGCGAATAAAGCAAACGACTTTCCGCCATACCAATGCATATGACTATGAGAAATATTACTGGATTAAAAAGTGTCGATAGAAGACCCAGCGTTAAGCCCCTGTGACCAGGCTTGAGGTTTCTCTCTCTTGCTACTCACAACTACGTTTCACAGCGTCTAAGCTTGATGAACGTTCTCAAAGAGGCTTGACGTTTCTTTTAGAAGTCTTTGAAAAAGAGAGAGCAAATACAAAAGAACGCATGTCATTTTTGCTGGTAAAACAATATTAGGTACTTTAAAATGGTGCTTATTCTACAAGAGGCCTTGAGGGTTTAGGTTGGACCACTGCGAAGCGCACAAGTGGTTTCAAGGACTTCGCAACAAACTTGTTCGGTGCAACTTTTCGTCATGTGTATGAAAAAAATTGTGGAAGAAAAAAATATTTAGTGGAGGGTTACCCAATCGCCCTCAGATATAGCGCAGAAGGGTTAAGTTCATATAAGTCGTATCCGACCATTTTAAAATATGCGAAGGAGAGATGGGTCGCTTTATTGAAGGAAATTCGTATGCAGATTCGTCAAGAATCGTATCAGGAGCACCTTGGTACAATAAAAGGTGAGCTGGATATATTCGACAACGCACTTATGGACCACCAAATCTGGGTATGCGAGTATGAAATGGGTACAAAAGGGCAGTCGCAAGTATTACGAAGGCAAGTCTACAGGGAAAAAGCTGCCAAATCCAGATCAAAGACTAGGTCCTTTCGGCTATCGAAGTATTGTGTATTATTAATTGCTGCCGATTAGTTGTAAGTCGTAGAAAAATATTTTGAGAAAGACAATATCCTCTTTGTCAGGTTGTCCCTTCCTTTTCATTTTCCTAAATTCAAGGTGATTCTGTGACCCAGTGGTCTGCAACTGTTTCGAAATCAGGTTTAGCACGCGGTAATGTGTGATGAGTATGAAGTGAATTTACCCAAAGTCCACTCTTGTATACATTAATCTTCACACCTTGCCCTAAAGATTTACTCCTAAAAATCTTCCTCTGCATTGCCAGTTGTTTTTAAATGTCCTGAATAAAAAAGCTCCATTCAAATTAATGTTTGTAAAGAATACTAGATTTATCCGAAAACTTTGCCTTGCGCTCATTGATATGTATTAGGCCCTTAAAAGCGAATCTAAAATTGAATAACGTTTAAATTAGTTGAGCTAAAATTATTTTTTAATCTGTAATAAATGTGCTTCCCTTTTTACATGCTTGTCGAAGCGCTTTGGCGGCTTCTAAACGGTCATACACCTACCGTTCGAGTTCCAATATGTAGTTTACTGTTGGCTTTCCGAAGTAAATTGACAGTTTGGATATGCTTGTCGGCCAGTTGCCTGTTTTAAGGCATGAATTTTAGGACCCCACAATAGCACGGGGGTTAGCGGGAGAATACGCGGGTGGAAGCCAAATTTGGATATTCCTCTGCTCAATCCAGGAAGTAGCTGGGGCATTGTGGTGGGGGTTTGACGTTGTCATCAAACCACCAAACTGCGTGCTTTCGATTTCCATGTCAACAATCCATAAATTTCTTGCAAACTGCAGATAACGGGCTGTATTCATTGTTTTGTTTTCGGTAAATAACTCATAGCAGCGGATGCCTCTAACTGCCATTGCAAGTTAACTGCTATGATCTTACTTCAATTTCT